ACCAAGCTAGATAAGTATTTAGTTAGCTTGGTGCTAGCTTAATATTTAATTTGCAAATTAAGTATTTAGCTAGGACCAAGCTAGATAAGTATTTAGTTAGCTTGGTGCTAGCTTAATATTTAATTTGCAAATTAAGTATTTAGCTAGCACCAAGGTAGATAAGTATTTAGTTAGCTTGGTGCTAGCTTAATATTTAATTTGCAAATTAAGTATTTAGCTAGCACTAAGCTAGATAAGTATTTAGTTAGCTTGGTGCTAGCTTAATATTTAATTTGCAAATTAAGTATTTCCTACACACAAATTATTTATTTAACAAACTGTGTATTTATTTTGGAAAATAAATATTTAGCTTGCAGACATTTTTAGTCATTTTTAAATGACAATCTGAATAGTGAGTTTGGAACTTTGATTTTTATAAATGAATGAATGATAAAGTGAAAAAAATGACCCTCTTATTGTTCTCTTAAAACAGGCTTATTAAAACAAAAGAAATTGCTTTTTGTTTTTGGCTGCTTCACTTTACAAATGGCACCCTGTAACTTTACTGAGTATTTAGTGATTCTGCGGGACGACATCTCCTGTCCTCACCTTGGATCCTGGTGACACACGGACCCAGAAGACCTGTTGATGTCCACACTCTCATTGGTCCATTTCTGAAAGGTGGCCAGTGTTTCCTGTATGAAAAAATGTCAACGTTTAACAGGATAACAAGGAATTCTACACACGACGTTTATCGATGGACTGGTTCTGATATTTATGTGTTTTTAATCAATCAATCAACATTTAGACCTAAATCCCAGGAAGGATCTTTGTAAACCTCCTGGGGAGCAGTGGGCTGCTATTGTGCAGCGCTTGGGGAGCAGTGTGGGGTTAAGGGTCTTTGGACCCAGAGTGGAAGTCTGTGGGAGTGGGTTTTAAACTCACAACCTCAGGATTCCAAGCCCCATGCGCTAACCACCACGCCGCATCTCCTTGTTTTGCCTGAAGGAGACGGCATTTCTAAGACAGCATCGATTAGCAAAATAATTATTTTGCTAATCGATTAATCTGTCGCTTATTTTTTCAATTAAAAGTTGGATCGCCAAAGGCTCGTTAAAGAAGACTTTTTACGAAATCAAGCAAGAAGAAACTAAAATACTTCCATGTGTGGAGTTCTGGATAGAGCAGATTGACAGATGAAATGATTTTTATCTTGAATGCAAAATGTTTACAGATTGTAGTATATCTACTGCTCTATAAGCTACAGGCATGAATTAGTCTCTTTATTCCAGTTAATAATTAATCAATCCTAACAGTAGAGCCATACATCAGTGCAGGTAGTTTTTCTACCTCTGAAGCTGCATGTTAGTTTGTCTGAAACAGGGAGGCTTTTTGAGGAAGATAAACTACCGAGCAGTCGCTACTGAGGGTTTGCACACATCCAGAGTCGTCATTCTGAATGCAACAACCAGACTCTCTTTCCAGATCTTTGTCTTTCTGGATCATAGCGACTATCTGCACGTCCCTTCGGATGCATGGAGAGAACTTGGCCCCGAGGTGGATTAGAGCCTCCTGGAAGATAGAAAGGATAATAATTAGATTCAGAGTCAGAAAAGGCTTTAACCCTTCAGAGGGTCAAAACTTTCAGCCAATAGTGTTATTGGAATCAAGGACAAGACCTCATTACCTTTGTAACATTTAAAAAATATGGATATTTTGATGGATAAAATGAATGTCAATGTAAGAAGAAATGCCAACTTTCCAGAATATATTAAGAAAAATAACAAAAGTGCTTCTGGAAGGAATTAATGAAAAAAAGAAACATTAATGCTGATTCTGGCACTTACATTTTAAAGTTTATAAACCTAAATATAATTTTTAACTAGGAGTTTTTTAACTTTTTAACATTTGGGGGGGGGGCGACATTCCATTTATAAGGGGTATGTAAATGAGGGTTAAACAGTTTTAAAGATGCAAAGCAAACTAATGCAACCAGAGCATTTTCAAGCATTGTAATATTTCTCAGTGCTAAAAGTCGTATTATCAGCGACGACTTCAGGCGTCCATCTAACGCAGCGCTAGCGAGGCAGACTCACAGAGCTCGGTCCGATCCAGAAGTTCTCTTGTTGGATAAACTTCACACTTTCATAAATGCCTTTGTTCTTTAGTACCTACAGAGGGCGGCAGAGAGGCACAGTTAACCAGTGGTGATGGAAAGGGTCGGTTGTAGTTCAGCACAAAGGGAGACGTCTGAGTAAAAGCTCTACAGGACAACTAGAGGTTAAATATTCACCCACCAGTTCTGTTTTGGAGTGCTGTGAAAACCCCACAGGGGCAAAACCATAGGTGCAGCAGGACAGCAGCGTGATGAGTATGTGGACAAATGTTATCCAGTAGGTAAAGTAGGGCCTGAAAACACACAAGAAAAAACAGCTTTAATCACTTTCAATCAACTGTAAAGAGCGACAACAAGCTGACAACAAGCTGACAACAAGCTGACGGGTCGTTTCACATTTCAGGAGGAAATAACTGAACTTTAACAAACACACTGGACAAAGATCTAGTTCATTTAGTCCATTTAAGGCTGATTTTTTTTTTTTTTTTTTTTACAAAAACAAGATTTAAAATTACTAATTGATTAAGATATGATTTAAAAAAAATCTTCAAATATACATATATTATAGAGAAATGATTGAACTAAACTTATCATTTTATGCTTTTTAATATATAATCCTTTTATTTTTCAATATGTCACTTCTGTTCTTCTATTCTCTTTAACTTTTAGTGTTCCCTCGATGCCACAGCAACATACTTTATAATATATAAATAACTACTTTAAAACAACATTGTCTTACTGAAAAACTGAGAATCTAACTTAATTTTTATTAAAATTATTTAATATTCCTTGATTTTAGAAGGAGTAGATATTAAATCTCTTATTGCAGTGCTACCAGGTGCACAATAAGAAAATTTATAACAGTTTAAAACAAAAAACAAATCTTTAACTTATTTCTAGTACTTAAATACTCATGTTATTCGCATGCTTACTTGTTTCAAGTAATTTCTTACTTTTTTATAAACCTGTTTTCCAGTTAGTGCTCTAGTGATGCCGTTACAATTTTTCCAATTTCTAATTATGAGATTCTTAATTTCTAGCTTCTCCTTTCCAGCATTGCCTCCAACATTGTCTATGGATGCGTTCACACTGCAGGCCTTGATGCTCGATTCCGATTTCTTTTTGAAATCCAATTTTTTTATCTTGCTGTTCACATTTCCAAATGTATGGGACCTGTATGTGATCTCCTTTTTTAACTGCATTCATACAACTTAAGTGTCCCGCATATGCAGTAGCACAATGACGTCCAGGGGTGTAAATAATAAACATTTTATATCGATGCATCGATCCAACAGCCGACGATCCGATGCATCGATACGTCCGCAAGATAATCGATTCATGTTTTTTTCTCCGGTCTATTTTTATCCATTTGCTCCTGGGCGTAATTCTCCCTCCTGTGCTGCGGTGGCGCTAAACCTATTTAGCCCTCCTACCTCGCTTCCTGGTTATACTTTTACAGCAGTGTGT